AAACAACCCTAAAAAGGTTAAAAACAGAATAAAAAAAAAAAAAAGGTAGAAAAAAAATATATATATAAATAAATTTACATTCCGGGCTCGGCGGGATTCGAACCAGGGGAGGTTGGAGGGGGTGAGGAGGGGGTAGGGGGGGATGGTGGCGGGAGCGCGCGGCGAGCGGGGGTATAGCTCAGTGGTAGAGCATTTGACTGCAGATCAAGAGGTCCCTGGTTCAAATCCGGGTGCCCCCTCAGTGCGATTTTTTGATGGTTTTAAGCATTTTGGGGTTTTTTTTTGTCGGTATTTCACTGGGGGAGGGGGTGAGGCGGGGGGGTCGCATTTGCACGCGCGCGCAGCCCCCGTTCCACGCGCGGGCGCCGCGACCGCGGCGCCCGCGCGTGGAACGGGGACTGCGCAGGCGTGGAGGGAACCGTAAAGAGACGCCCAGCAGTTGTGGTAAAGCACCGGGGGTATAGCTCAGTGGCAGAGCATTTGACTGCAGATCAAGAGGTCCCCGGTTCAAATCCGGGTGCCCCCTTGTTTTGTTTTTCATTTTTATATTTTTTTTTATGTTTTTTTAAGTTCCGCTTATCCAGTGTTTTCTCGCACCGAATTATCCCTGGTTCCTCTTCCCGTCGCCGCCGCTCCCTCCCGGTGCTCCCGGTGCTGTCGGTGAGGGTCCGGCGTTTCCCGCCGCCGCCAGGGGGCGCCGCCGCGCGCGAGGCGTGGCGGGCGCGTCACGTGACATCCGCCGCCTCTTCCGGCGCCAAGATGTCGAAGCGAGGTGAGGGAGGCGCCGGTCTCCGCCGCCATCCGGCTCCATCCGCCGCCATCCCGCGTTCCCGTGGCCGCCCCGGCGCACCGGGGACTCGGGGAGAGGCGCCTGAGCCCGGGCGGGAGCGGATATCACGGGTGATGACTCCGCTGCCCTCGCCGTGAGGCGCAGGCCTGGGGCCGCTTCGTGAGGCGGTCCCGGGGTCTTAACGCTCTTCTCGACCCGCAGGACGCGGAGGTTCGTCCGGGGCCAAGTTCCGCATCTCCCTGGGTCTCCCGGTGGGGGCCGTGATCAACTGCGCCGACAACACCGGTGGGTGCGGGGCTGGGACGGCGGGAGGGACCCCGGGAACGGGGGAACCCCTCGGGAAGGGCCCCTCGGGAAGGGCCCCGCAGTAACGCGGAGGCCGAGCTGTCAATCCCCAAAGCTCCGCGTTCCTTCTGGAGTCTCCTGGTAGCGGTAGCGCTGTTGGGTGTCCGTGCAGTGGGACACAGTGAGAAGCTGTGCCCGGGGATCCCGGGATAACAGCGCCGGGGATCCCGGGATAACAGCGCCGGGAATCCCGGGATAACAGCGCCGGGAATCCCGGGATAACAGCGCCGGGAATCGTGGGATAACAGCGCCGGGAATCCCGGGATAACAGCGCCGGGAATCCCGGGATAACGGCGCCGCCGCTCTCCGCAGGGGCCAAGAACCTCTACATCATCTCGGTGAAAGGCATCAAGGGCCGCCTGAACCGGCTGCCGGCGGCCGGCGTGGGTGACATGGTGATGGCCACGGTGAAGAAGGGCAAGCCGGAGCTGAGGAAGAAGGGTGAGTGCCGCCGTTCCTGTCCCGAAATGCCGCCGGGATCGGGCGCAAAGTCCCCGAGAGTCGCCTCCCCCCCTTCTCTAAAGCACTCGTTGGGTCTCTGCCGTGGCTCAGGGAGTTGTCGTGGAAGGGCAGAGCAAAGGCGCCGCTTTTGGGTGAAGTGGCAGCTCCTGGTGCTGTTGATTTCAATCAGCGGTGGGACAGGGTTTGGGAATCCTGGGTTGGGAATTTAAATCCCATCCGTGGGAAGGGACACCTTCAACTTTGCAGGCGGCTCCGAGGCGTGTCCAGCCTGGCTCTGGGCACTTCCAGGGGTGCAGCCACAGCTGCTCTGGGTCCCCTGTGCCAGGGAGGAATTCTTTCCCTAAATCCCCTCCTGTCCATCAGGGAAAGAGGAGCGATGCCACGTGGATGTGTGAAGTGAAAAATGATGGAATCCTGGAATGATCTGGGTGGGAAGTGACCTTAAATCCCATCCAGGCCCCACCACCCATGGGTCTGCTCCTGCTCCAGAGGAGTTTTCGCTGAACGTTGTTGGGGAATTAATAATTTATCTCAAAATCAATCTGGGAAAGTGGGAATTTTCCTGGATTTTCAGTGCATCTCCAAACATCACATGGTCAGTTTTAAGGGGACCATTGGCTCTGAAGCGTAACCTCTTAGTAAAACACCACAAATCCGAGGTGCAGAGCAAAACCAGCCCGGATCCGTGCCGTGGGTTTGATTCCCGTGGGATCTGTGTGGAATGTGGGCTCATCCCGAGGGCTGGGACCCTTTTTTCCTCGCAGTGCACCCGGCAGTGGTGATCCGGCAGCGGAAATCCTACCGGAGAAAAGACGGAGTGTTCCTGTACTTCGAGGACAACGCGGGAGTGATTGTAAATAACAAAGGGGAAATGAAAGGTGAGGCTGGGAATTGTGTCCTGCTGGGAATTGTGTCCTGCTGGGAGCACTGGGGGGATTGGCAGTGCCACAGAGCTCTGCTGGGGGAAAGGACTGGAGTTTGCCCTCAGAGAATGGGATTTAGGGTGGGAAATGCTGCCCTGAGCCATCTGTGAGCTCTGAACCGCAGAGTTCCAGAGTGGTTTGGTTGGAAGGGAGCTCAAAGCTCATCCCAGGGACATCTCCCGCCATCCCAGGCTGCTCCAAGGCGTGTCCAGCCTGGCTTTGGACACTCCCAGGGATCCAGGGGCAGCCACAATTCTCTGGGAATTCCATCCCAGCCTGTCAGGGAGGAGCTGAGCCCGTTGTTTTGTCCCTGTTTTCCAGGCTCAGCCATCACAGGCCCCGTGGCCAAGGAATGTGCGGATCTGTGGCCCAGGATCGCTTCCAACGCCGGGAGCATCGCCTGATCCTGATCCCGATCCCGGCCCTGCCCCTGGCCAGGGACACAAAATAAAACTCCTTGTACCAACTCTGTGGTGTTTTTATTGCCAAACAGCAGCAGGATTGTGCTGGGAAACGTTTTTATGGAGCTCCAGAAGATGGAACTGGGCGATTTTCCAATTGCGTTTTCCCGGCAGATTCCTGAAGAATCCCTGGAATGGCTCAGATTTGTGACCCTGAATTGATTCCTCATCTCAGGGGGGCTGGGAGGGGTCAGTGGGCAGCTCAGCCTTTGTGCTGGAGCTCTCAGAATTGGAGAATTCCTGGGATTTTCTTCCCAGAACTGGAGAATTCCCAGGACCATCAGGAGCAGAGTGGGGAGGCGTGGCCAGGGAAAAGCTCGGGCTGGCCGTGGTTCTGTGCCCTTCCCGATGGTTCTGTGCCCTTCCCGATGGTTCTGTGCCCTTCCTGATGCTTTTTCTGCCATTCCTGATGTTTCTGTACCACAGGGAGCCTCACCTGGCCATGGAGAGCCTCACCTGGGCCTGAAGAGCCTCACCTGGCCACAGGGAGCTCACCTGGCCATGGAGAGCTCACCTGGCCACGGGGAGACTCACCTGGCCATGGGGAGCTCACCTGGCCATGGGGAGCTCACCTGGGCATGGAGAGCCTCACCTGGGCATGGAGAGCCTCACCTGGGCATGGAGAGCCTCA